TTTTTGTATTTTTAGTAGAGATGGGGTTTTGCCATGTTGGCCAGGCTGGTCTTGAACTCCTGACCTCAAGTGATCCGCCTGCCTCAGCCTCCCGAAGTGCTAGTATTACAGGCATGAGCCACCATGCCTGGCCAAGCCTACATTCTTATAACTATAAAAGGCAAGGCTGGGATTCAAACCCCACAAATCTGACTCGAGTCTTCGCACCTGATCAGCACACTGCACTTCCCCTAAGGCTCCTCTGAGGCACTACAATTTTCTGAGTTTCTGCTTCTGGAAGGCTGGGATGGTATGTGGAGAGACAACAGGAAGCAAGGAGAAGGTTGTGAACTTCTAGGTGGATCATTAACAAACTTCCCAACTGGGTGTCAGAGCTCCCAAAGGCTCCCAGCCTGTTCTTCAGGATCCACAGAGAGGCCCTCCAGGTCAAAGTTGACAGTCACAGGACTGTGACAGCAACCAACCCTCAGGCCTCAAGGCATGTGCCATTCAAAGGCCCCTCACCAGAACACACACAACCCAGAGGTCCCCTGACTGCTAGCCCACCCCAGTGCTCCTGGGAGTCTCAGATGGCCCAGCCCTGCCATGGAGACACCAGCCAAGAGTAGGGGCCTGCTACCCAAAGGTGCAACAGCTAGCGTGTCAGGAGCCACAGTCCACACAGAGGATTTTAGGGGGCCTCGGATACCAAGCAAAGCCAAGCAGGAGGCAGAGCAGAATAAGTGAGGTTGGGGTACGGAGTCAGTTCTGGTACAGAGGTCCCTGGGGCTCAGGAAGCAAAGGATGTCCTGCACAGGGGGCTGGCAGGCTGGCATCCCAGACCTGCCCGTGGCTGCCTCTCTGTTACCATTCAGGTCTCAGCTCAGCTGTCAAATCTCAGGGACTTTTGATTCCACAACCCAAAATAGCCTCTTTGTCACTCACATCATTTCATTTTATTTTCTACATAGCACTTTCACTTTCTGATATGTTGCTACTTAATGATGATCTGTCTCTCCTCAACTAGAATGCAAGCTTCATAAGGGCAGGGGCACTGTCTTGTTCACTGCTGTGTAATCAGTGCCTAGAGTGGTGCCTGGCAATAATATCTAGTAATACTTCCGGAATGAATGGATGGATGAATGGGCCCAAACAGGCTCAAGCCCTTAAACACTGATGAGGTCCAGTATAAGCAGCTAGCTGCCTCAGCTTCTCTTCCCACCTTTCTTGAGAAATATAGCCATCTAAAATGTTTAATTTTAGCATTAAAATTTTTTTCTGAGTATAAAAGTAATGTGCTCACAGCTGAAATTTAAACATTACAGAATGACATAGAAAGCAAAAGTTCCAGCCGGGGCGTGGTGGCTCACGCCTATAATCCCCATACTTTGGGAGGCCGAGGCGGGCAGATCACGAGATCAGGAGTTCGAGACCAGCCTGGCCAACATGGTGAAACCCTGTCTGTACTACAAATACAAAATTTAGCTGGGCATGGTGGCGTGTGCCTGTCCTGAGGTGCAAAAGTGTGCTGAGGCCTGTGACATGAAGATAGGACAGCCCAGGAACAGAAATTCAGGGTGGATTGAAGAGGAGGAGAGTGTGAGCAAGACTGAATGCTGGAGGACAGAGTTTGGAGAGCAATGGACAGCATCACAAGCAGGGTTTGGGTGAACAACTTGGGAGGCTGAGGCAGGAGAATCTCTTAAAGCCAGGAGGTGGAGGTTGCAGTAAGCTGAGATTGTGCCACTGTACTCCAGCCTGGTGACAGAGCAAGGCTCTATCTCATAAAAAAAAAAAAAAAAAAGAAAGAAAGCAAATACATCTTAGAGAAAGTCGCTATTAATGGTATGTTGTATAGTCATCCAAATAAAATTTTATTTTTAAAAAAACCAATACGTGCATCACAGAAAAAGCATTCATAGGCTGGGTATGGTGGCTCACGCCTGTAATCCCAGCATTTTGGGAGGCTGAGGCAGGAGGACTGCTTGAGCCCAGGAGTTTGAGACCAGCCTGGGCAACATAGCGAGACCTCATTTCTAATAAAGAAAAAAAAAAGCATTCATAATTCCAAACTAGCAGCAATGATCATTTCTCCCTTGCAATATTTTCCTATGTGTGTATTTTCCAAGTCACCATAATATACTTATTCTGCAACCTGCCATTTTCACTTGTCATAACTATCTTTCCAAGTTGTTGTATAGCCTCTGTGCTCATTATTATAATGGCTGTGTACTAACTATTCCATCAAGTGGAAAATTGTAATTTACTTAACCTAGGTGTCCAAAGGGAACAATTGTTTCCCATTTCTACTACTATAGATGACACAACAGGAAGTACCTTAATGCCTGTGACAGAAGAATTCAGCCCTTTTCCTCTTGGGTACTATTTCTTAATAAGATTTCTTAATGAATAATTGCAGAAGTGGAATCAGTGAACCAAACGGTCCAACAGTCTTAAGCCTAACAGCATAGATTGCTCCAAGGAGATGTGTCATGTGGTGTCTCCCATCTGAGTCACCACATTCCCACAGAGGCATCCA